TACTTTTTTTCCATCTCTGTATTTTTCTGACCAATGAATGAAGATTATTTACATAATGAAGTGTGTGATTGGAATAATATCATACGTATAATAACCTCAGATTATAGGCTAGAATGTAAACTCAGGCAATTCGACACTCATTTGTGTCCGCCAACACCTCCGATTAAAACACGAAACACAGGATATATCGTTAGTAAAAAATGAAATACACATATTGTTCAAAATTTCACCTGTGATATGAAATATAACCCAGACCTCATGTTTGGCCCTGCGTTGTGCAATCCGAGCCGACACGTTGGTGAAACGAAGCTTTTATAACATAAGACGTGTGACAGTCTCTTGAAAATAAATGTTTTCTGTGTTTTCGGTGGAACACACACACTCGTGAGCGCACCTTTAATCCCACGGTTCTGTTTCCTGTCATGTGATCTAAAGCTTAATGAACATGAATCCATGTGTTCAATTCCCAGATCATAGGATGGTGTTCATTTGAAAACCTCGTCTTGCTCGGAACATTGCTCTATTAAAAGTCCGTATTGTTCCTTGACAAAATGCAGCACACTGAATGAATAGATTCATGGATACGGTATATTTCCGTAAATACGACATCTCCGATTATTATAATTATATTTCTATTATTCCCTTGGTCTCGTATTGTAGATTACTGTTGAGGAAGCAGCAGCGATGTGTTCACTGGGTATCATTACAGAAAAACCGAGTAACCTATTAAACCAACAATCAGAGAAAAAGAACAGCAGATTCAAAACAAACACCTCCATTTTAAATGATATATTTAGTGGTGCTGATGATAAAGGGCATTATGGGAAATCTAGAGGCACGTGAGTCGACGTTTTCAGGCACGGTCATGAGTAAGATGGCTTTGGGTGTATAGGATGGAAGTAAACAAGGTCGTATTGTAAACTTCCTGCCTGTTCAGTGACTCTCTCTCATAGAGCTGCTGCGTGAAAAAATAAACGAGCGCGAACTAGATCTTGTTTCACGTCGTCATCAAATGGGAAGTGACCCATAAATCTGACCCGAAGTGTAAACATGTGACTCAGTCAGTTATATGAATCAGTGAATGAAATAAACACAGTGAATCCGGTGTTTTTGGTGAATCAGAATTTCAGGTGAGTTATCATTGGAGATGATTCAGTGAACTGAACCAGTGATTTAGATGATTCAGTTTAAGATGAATCACTGATTAAGACGAATCGTTGATTTAGATGAATCCTTCGGACGAACGTGTAAACAAAACCTTCATTCGTTTTCATGTTTGTTAAATAGATTTTTAAAAAAAAAAAAATGTTATTAAAACTTTATTAACGCATTATAATGCATTGTATTCAGGTGTTTACTTGTGAAAATTTGTCTCCCCCTAGTGTTTACATTTCTCTCTCTCTCTCTCTCTCTCTCTCTCTCTCTCTCACTCTCTGTTTTTCTCTCCCTCATTCCCTCATTTTTTCTCTCAGTATGTTTTACCAAAGAAGATTCACTCAAAGACTATCAATGAACGATAGAAATAAATAAAGGAAAAGATCTTAGTTACAGGGTAATGTACACGCAGGTCACTTTTATCACTAATTATGGATTTTCTGTGCAGTGGTTTATTGCGTTAAGCTGCATATTGTTTCTCTCTGTCTCTCTCTCTCTCTCTCTCTCTCTCTCTCTCTCTCTCTCTCTCTCTCTCTTCACTCAGTACCTCTCTGATTGTGCTTGTCGTCGCTCCTCTCTGCCCGTCTGTCCGAAGCACTAGACCTTGCGTGAGAGGTCTCTCTCCTCTATCTGTTCCACCTGTCCTCTATCTCTCCTCTGCATCGCCTGTTCTTCATCCATCCTTCCGTTCATGCAACAACAACAACAACAACAACAACAACAACAACCATCTGGTGCTTTGGCTATGAAGCATTTTAACCTGACGTCTTTATTAAATTTATTTGCAAGGTCATTTCCAGCCACCATTTCTTGAAGTGTTTCTGTTTGTTCGTGTTTTATTACCTGAAATGTAATGATGGAGAGATTCATGCAGCAAAAAAAATAGAAAAAGAAACGTTTATTGATTATTTACTGTCGGTTATTACATCTTATTGTATATACAGAGACATGTATAATAAAAATAAATGAATTTAAGGTTAAGGTTTTCGAGTGTGAGGACCCAAAAGACAGGCACACACACACACACACACACACACACACACACACACACACACACACACACACAAAGCTGTATAAAAGGAGTAATTAGATGGGCAGGTGCGAGTGGCGAGTCTGATAAGAGATAAGACACACACTCACACGCAAACCCACATCATGAACGTAAACACACAGAGTGTGTCGTGCTAAAGTAAAAGCTGAGTTGCCGAAATCTGAAGTTATTATTATTATTTTCCTATAACATCACATCCCCAAGGGTTTTATTCCTCTTATACCACAGCAACTTACCAAAGATTCCAATTTTTTTTTCTTAATGAATGTCACGATACTTTTTATCTGTTTATAGTTACATTTAATGCTGTCGAATATCCATGAAACAAGTTAGTTCCTGTTGTCGCTTATGTTATAGCAGCTATAAACAGTCGTTCCCTCACCAGCCTCTGTTTATTCTCTCTCTTGGTGTTAATAAGACAAAAAAAAACAAGTTTTTTGTTAGAGAGAAACTGCAAAGAAGCGCAAACGCCTCGGTCCTGAAGATGTCGAAAAACGTAAAGTTACAGCTTCACCTCTGAATGTTACGAAGCGCTGACACTGGAGACTCCTTCCATCGATGTTAAATAAACAGTTCCTTACAGAAAACGTCACCGTATCACTGTATCACCGTATCAATGATATGCTGTTATTGAAAATTAATCAACACCTTCTGACCAATCACAATCCAGAATTCAGCAGCGCTGTGGGATAAGATTAACTAATAAATGATAATTAATAGATTTTGCTCTTTGTGTATCTGTGCTGTAAATTGTGATTCGTGTCTGACGTGCTGAGCGTGTCTCAAGTACTGGACGTGACTTCTGAGTGTGTGTGTGTGTGTGTGTGTGTGTGTGTGTGTGTGTGTGTGTGTGTGTGAAGGCCACTGATGCAGCTGTTGCATGCCGTAGAATTGCCAAAGTTCCATTTCTATGCCAACAGCATCACTGCGGTAACACGAAGACACGTGGCGACAAGACCTTGTAGTGTCAAGACAAAACAAACAAACACATGCACACAGACACACACACACACGCAAACACACACACACACACACACACACACACACACACACACACACAAAGAGCAATGAATGTGAGATATTTACAAGGACACAGCAGAAGAACTGAAAGAAAAAAGAAAACTCTGTATGTGTGTGTGTCTGTGTGTGTATCTAAAGAAAATAGTTTAAAATGAATTAAACACACAAAAAATATTACATTGTGCAACTTCTTTATGTATTTATGTATAATACTGCACACACATATGTGGTTCTTCCCTATGTTCCAGCATGACGACGCCCCTGTGCACAAAGCGAGCTCCATGAAGACACGGTGTGTGAAGGTTGGAGTGGAAGAACTCGAGTGTCCTGCACAGAGCCCTGACCTCAACCCCACTGAACACCTTTGGGATGAACTGGAACTGGAGACTCCTTACCCAACATCAGCACCTGATCTCACTAATGCTCTTGTAGCTGAATGAACACAAATCCCCACAGCCACGCTCCAACATCGAGCGGAAAGACTTCGCAGAAGAGCGGAGCTCATTATAACAGCAAACACTGGGGAATAAATCTGGAATGAGACGTTCGACAAGCACATATGGGTGTGATGGTCAGGGGTGCACAAACTTTTGGCCATATAAAATGTACATCAGCATTATAGCACCATCATCTTTATACCATAATATTATAGATAATGGATTATAATATTATATATTATATATATAACTGCTATAACGTAAGAGAGAACAGGAGCGCACTTGTTTCGTGACCATTAAACAAAGTAACTATTCATGGATAAAAAAATATGCCATGTCGTTCTTTAATGAATAAAATGTTTATTATTAGCAACTTGCTAGGGGGTGGTAACAGGAACTCCGCTTCATCACACCACCACGTCACAGGATTTTCCTCAGTGTTTATTCCTCGATTCATTTATGATGCTATTTCATATCATGAAAGCAGTAAATGTGTCATCTCTTAAATAAGAACCCACTCGTAACACGAATGCGTTGGACCTTCTACAGACGTCTCGATGCTGTGAGTCGTCTTTCCTCTCGTCTACGGCAGTGTGGGATGAAGGTGTGATGGTGTGGTATGTGCAGATCTCCAAACCACACTCATCTCCCCCAACCAATCCTTCCTCCACACGTCTCTCTTATTCCTTGATTCGCATGATAGTCATTTATTTGGGGATGAGGCGTGCTCCTGTAGGGATCTCTCCGGGTGAAGGGTCATGTAGCGTGCACACCGCTCCTCACACGTGGCTACAGATCACAGGTGATTAAAGCCATGTAGTGCGAGACGGCCAGTGATTCCTAGGCTCTGAATCTCGTGTCGAGTGCACTCAGCCTTGCTCAGCTTCTCATGAGATCTCCTCTGTTGCATGATATCCATCTAGCAGTCTGAGTGGTTAAACATGCGCTTCCTCCGAGACACGTGAAGTCAGACGCAGTGTGTCTCTAAATTGTCACTCGTACAGTGTGTGAGTACATGAAGAAGCACGGAGAGCACTGTGTGTTCTACTTTGTATCCACGACTCCTGTGACACCCAGACAGCAGGATAGTTATGCTCTATTCGACTCTATTCAGCCATAGACGGCTGTGGCTTTATCAATGTAAAAAAGTGAAGTGTGGTGACCCATACTCGGAATTTGTGCTCTGCATTTAACCCAACCAAGTGCACACACACACCCAGAGCAGTGGGCACCCAGGGAGCAGTTGGGGGTTCGGTGCCTTGCTTAAGGGTCTCACCTCAGTCATGGTATTGAGGGTGGAAGAGCGCGCTGGTCATTCACTCCCCCCACCTACAATCCCTGCCAGACCTGAGACTCGAACCCACAACCTTCGGGTTACAAGTCCGACTCTCTAACCATTAGGCAACGTATAGATGTTCACCAGTCTCTGCTGTGGAAATGTGGACTAGTCGTGTGTTTGGATGAAACTGTAGGGCAGGCAGTAAAGGCAGCAGCTAAATGCACTTAAATCACTAGTCTGAAGTATTTCGGACTCGATGAAGCTGATGCTACAATCAAGTCTACACTAGGAAAAGCCTTTCTTCTTTTGCTTTCATGGATTAACATTTTGGTTATATGGTTATCACGTTGCACGAAGTGGAGAGGTGTGTGTGCCACCTGCCCCTGAAGGAATTCCTCCTACACGTTGGTTGTCTTTTAAAACGGAATAAAATTGAAATCAAATCTGTGAACTCTGGCGCCGTGACCAGAGATGTAAGAAAGAGAGCTTTCAGAGCCACGGGTTGCGCATCACCATCCGATCCCACTCAGCCAGCTTTAGCCTGATCCAGACTTGTTTTTTCGGAGTCGAGCAGGGAGTTAAAATGTTTCAGATGCTTCTGTAGACATCGCCTCCGCCATCCATCACCAGGCTACAAGGCGTTTACACACCGCACTGCGCTCTCGGATTCAGAGCGAGTGATTTCTGTTCATCCATACGAGTGCATTTTAATAACGAGTACATCCTTGAATAATGTAATGTATCCAGATTTATTATTTTGCACATTTATTTATTTCCATTGTTAACAGTGTAGCCTGAAAAGCACTGAAGCAGGAAATGTAATGTGTGTCCTGTGTGTGGCTGTTAACTGAAGGACATAAATGTCTTGGAACAAGATTCCTTTTAACCAATCACTGCCATCTGAAGACATCAGCGCACTCTGTTCCTGACACACACACACACACACACACACACACACACACACACACACACAAAGTTCAGTTTCACACATCTCTGTGCTTTATTCAGTGTGAGATGAGTGAGTGTGTGTGTTTGCAGAATCACTCACGGACGGCATTTATCATATCACGAAGGTGACTTTCACTCCCCTCTGTGAAAAATAACAGTCACGACATCGCTCTCTCTCTCTCTCTCTCTCTCTCTCTCTCTCTCTCTCTTTTCTCTGTGCATTTTTCCTGAAATGCTCTGTTTACTAATGAATCAATTTCAAACAGGAGTCAGCGACCTCTGGAGTCACACACAACATAAATACACACAAACAAAGCACACACATCCATAAAGGAGGACTGGAGACAACAGACGCCCATCATTCTTTGGTATCAAACTGGTTTTTATTATAAATGTGTTACATTTGATCGTATGTTTTATCATTTCTAATATACAGTCTTGTCTATATATTTAGATCTATATACAGCCACATGCTATTTGTCAACCTGACACCTTTTTAAAAGCAACACTTACAGTAAGCCGTGATAAAAATTCACAACAATTACAAGAAAATGAAAATGAACGGAAGATGATGGAGCGGTTATGATTCCGAGGATGCTGCAGAAAAGACAGAATTGCTCATGAGGATAAAACTTGTCCATGTTAGTGTGGATTTCGAATAGAAAAGAGTTTCCCGAAATGAAATGAACGGAGCGGTCACTGGATGGGGCAGGCCGGATGTGTCATTGCTTTGCTCAGCTTCAAGCTCTGTGTTTGTTCCTCACGTGAGGCGAGTGCGAGCTGCAAGTCTGTTCCGAAGCTGGGTCTGCGTGCGAGTGGGTGTACCGCGCCGCACGGCGTGTCGCCACCACGTTGACGCGCCACGCGCAGGATGGCGTGGTACGAGCGGATGGAGAGCTTGCGGTGGCGGGAGGGCCCCGTCTCGAGCGGGAGCCCGCTTCGCTCCGCCAGCGCCGCAAACGCCTCCTCCAGGTTTTTGCTGTCTTTGGCAGACGTCTCATAGAGCGCGCAGCCCTCTGCGAACGCGTGCAGGGCCTCTGCGCGAGACACCGCGTGCTGCTCGACTGGCAGGTCCATCTTGTTTGCGCACACCACCACTGGCACGCTGCTCACGCGCGCCTTCGAGCGCAACAGCGCTGCCTTGGCCGACGAGATCTCAGAGCGCAGAGCGCACACTTCATCAAACGAGCTGCGATCGTCCACGCTGAACACAAGCAGGAAGATATCGCCTGCAGGACAGAAGAACAAAGAGAAACCCTGTCAGTGATGTGATGTTAATCAAAAAGGAAATCTGATCATTACAACAAAATGGATCCAAACAGTACTGTGCAAAAGCGTTCGGTACACCAGCTCTGATCCTGAGCCGCGTTATTAATTAGCTATAACAAATTCATTCTCGGTAGATCATTCGAGCTGAAAAATAAGAGAAATAAGAGTTCCACCCGAGAGACAAGATAAGGGACTGTTTAGTACCCTTCTTTCACAGCTTAGAGTAAATTAAGCCAATGCAAAAATGTTCAAATTTACCAAGAAAAATCATGATTTTTAAGCTAGTAATCCACTGATTCCCTGGTGAAACTGAAGAACTTCATATCTTTCATAACTGTTATAAATTCTGAGAATATTACTGATAAACTCCTATTTTTAGGCAAAGATTGACAATCTCACTGTACTGGATTTTCAAGATGTGATTCTTAAACTCGCAGAAATTTGAGGATAGTGGAAAGAAAGCGTGTAAATATGATGAGCACTGCACTTTTATCTATGACCTTTAAAAACATATCGTTTAAAACGCTCGCTCAGCGTGTTCGCGTCATCTGACACTGAAGACCTGCGAGTCTTCGAGAAACGGAGAGATGGTCTTGGAGGTCAGGTGTGGCTACGAAAGCTCTTTTTCGGGGTTGTAGCAAACGGAAAGCACGAAGATGTGAGATGAACCCATTTTTGTTTTACAAAAGCTCGAATGCACACCTGCTCCGATTTCTAAAGCTCTCTGTTTGCGTTTCTTTCTTGGGAAAATTTCAGCCACCACTGAACACAATCCAGTGAAAATCAGTTAAATTATTAATGCTACGAGGTTTAAAAACGGTCTTTCAGGAAATACTGTCATATCAAACTGTCATAGCCTGAGTGGATAGTTAAAAATCATACACACAACTGAAGCTTTAAGGTCTCACGCATGTGGAAAAGGTTTTGGAAATAGACCTCTTTAACATGACGTTACTTTTGGAGCCATACTTGCAGATCTTTTGCACAGTAATGTATTAAAATCTGATAAAATTCTCTTTAGAAATCAGAAAAAAAAATGGTCAGAATTTCCACAAAAGCTTATTTTAAAAAGATAATTACATTTCATTTTTGAAAATGTTATCGTATGTCTTTAACTTAATACTACACATTGTTTTAATGATTTTTTTTAAATGTTTTAATTACTATACAGTAATGTGTAGTGTGTGTGTGTATAGTGTGTGCAGAGCTGTGTGTGTAGTATGTGTACAGCTGTTTGTGTAGAAGTGTGTGTGTGTGTGAAGTGTGTGTAGAGCTTTGTGTATGTGTGTGTACAGAGTTGTGTGTGTAGAGTTGTGTGTAGAGCTGCGTGTGTGTAGTGTGTATAGAGCTGTGTGTAGTGTGTGTGAAGAGCTGTGTGTGTATGTGTGTGTATATGTAGTGTGTATAGAGCTGTGTGTATGAAGAGTTGTGTGTGTGTAGTGTGTATAGAGCTGTGTGTAGTGTGTGTGTGTGTGTGTGTGTGCGCACCGGTGAGGATGGAGAGTCTGCGCTTGGCGGGGAAGTCTCTCTCTCCGGCTGCGTCCAGGATGTCTACCTGGTAAGTCTCCCCGCGGATGCTGTACACTTTGCGGTGGAAGTCCTCTCGCGTGGGCTCGTAGTGCTCTTCGAAGCCGTCCCGCAGGAAGCGCCGCAGGATGGCCGTCTTCCCGACGCGCGGCGCCCCGAGCACCACCAACCTCCTGCAGTTCTGCGGCTTCGGCCCGGAGCTCAGAGCCTCCCGAGCGCGCAGCACCGCCGCCGTCTGGTTCCTCTCCTCCGCCGCCCTCGCCTTCTTCTCCCGCCGCTTTATGAGCTGCGCCGCGGCCAGTCTCTGCACTCCCAGTCCCGCTTTGGAGATGGTGGCCGCTACCCCGAGCCCCCCGAACCCCAGGCCGGTCAGGAAGGCGCTGGAGGAGCTTGGGAGGAAGTCGGGCGCGTGTCCGGGCTGCATGCGCGGCACCGGGGCGCTCTGGATATCCGCTGTCTTCGTGTCAGTCGGTGCAGGGGGCATCAGTGGAGCTGATCAGTGGCGCTGAAGTGATCGACTCAGATGTCTAACAGTCTCTCTCTCTCTCTCTCTCGGTCTCTCTCTCAGATGGAGATGCTCAGTGCGCCGCGCCAACCTGCCTTTTATACTCACGCAGCCTGTATGCTGGAGCAACAGCTACAAAAGTTTGCTCTTGCACTCAAACATGCATATGGTCATGTTCATAAACATCAGCCATCTGAAATTTCACTCTATGCAGCAACAGTGGGGAACATGATGGCTGCATTATTATTATTATTATTATTATCGTTATTATTATTATTATTATTATTATTATTATTATTATTATTATTATTATTAATAACCTACATAAACATCTGATCTGAGCATCACAGACCACAAACCATTTATACACTGCCTATACAAATAGATACATACAATACAATTCTGAAGGATGATGACGCTATCATACACACACACACACACACACACACACACACACACACACACACACACACACCCACACACCCCACCACATCACACCAAAGCTGCTAGGGACTGTGAGGGCCCCAGGCACGGAAATGCAAGGGCCCCTTTTTATTGCCAGTATGTTACTCAGATGTCCACAGAAAGCATTTAAGAATGTACACTATTTTTTGTCGTCATTTTCAAACCAGCTAAATAACACTACACGCTCCAAACCGAGCACTACCTCTTAGCTAGCTGCTCGACTGGAAAAAAGACATTGCGCTAGTGTTTTTTTCATTACCGTATGGCTTAGCCTATGCAGCTGTCATCCTTGACTCTTCTTCTTCTTTTCTTTTTCTTTGCAGGCTTCCAGTTCTCGCAGCAGTTCAAATGAAGCTTGCAGCAGTCTCACATGTTAGCGATATGGAGCCCCTTGACGTTGATTCCTGGTATAGCGTTAT